ATTATTAGCTTATCTATCCACTTCTTGCTGAGTCACCAGTTTGTCAGTGTTACTTTAGACTTAATGCAACAAGGATGGACTCTACAGATGTGTTATTAATCCTAATCATCCTTTATCAATAACCTGTGTTAGACACCATGAGTCCAACGGCAGGTGCACAGATCGTTTCCCCTTTTACAAATGCCCATCATTAACATTCATCTCAACAAAATAATTCTATAAAACTATAATTTGGCCGTTGTTAATTTGGGGATACTCAATAATTTGAGAATTACAGTTCCTCTAAGCTTCACAAAACCAAAGGATCTGACTCTTATGTGGGTCAAGCACCGAGACAACTGCATCCTACAATTCCCATAATGCAACTCTAAAGCGTCTGTCATGAGAGCCTCTTTGTCTGGTTATGGCCATCTTTTGTTCCCAGTTTGTATGGCAGGTTTCCTGTATTTTGATAACTTAATACACTTACATTTGAATGTATTGATGTTTACAACTGAATTTGGATTGGTTAGTTAATTACAGGTATATTATTTTATGCAATATAGCCCCCCCAACTTATTAAATAAAAGAAGACGGTTTTTTCTAACTCAATACTGCACTGCAGGCAGAGAACTGGGCCTTTGGTCTATTTTTAACTGCTGTCAAGAATTTACAATCTTTTTTCCTGGCATGACAGGAGCTGGTGGATGACCTGTATAATTTCAGAGAACACTATTTTGAGACTCACAGTGTGGAGGAAGCTGGGAGGAAACAAAATGATGTCGCACAGGAGATGGAAAAGACACTGAAGAAGCTGGAGGAAAAAGAAGGTAAGGGTTATATTTACACAAAAGCACTTGGACCTTTTAATTTCCAGACTTTAATTCACACCCGCTGTACCTCTGTGTTAACGAACACCCACAGATCAGTTAAAACACAAAGTAGAGTTCCTGCTGCAGAAGGGCAGGTGCCTGAACGTGTCACCTGACTTCAACGCCGTAGCCGAAGAGTGCCTTTCCCGCGCCGTGAAGCTGGAGCCCGGCCTGGTGGAGGGCTGGAACACACTGGGGGAGCAGTACTGGAAGAAGGGAGACCTGACTGGGGCCAAGAACTGCTTCACAGGAGCCTTGCAACAGGTACATTAAAGACGGAAAGAGAGGAGGTCATGTCTTCAACTCAGAGAGGCATACATTTCCATTCTGTCCCCTTTGCTTTCATACATAATAAGCCATAATACAAGAAACCCCTTTATGATTTACAGTCATAAAGTCAAATCAGTAATACACAAGGTACTTCAAAAGTTAGAATTTCTGGCACTAATGCAAGCAGTATAATTGTGTTTGGTTGTTTCTGAATGAATAGAACTCCTGTGGAGTTATCCCTATCTCTCCATGTATGGTTAACGTATTAACTCCTGTTCCTTACTCTTTATCTTCCCCCTGTGTAGAGTCAGAACAAAGTGTCGCTACGCAACCTGTCGATGGTTCTGAGGCAGGTGCCGACGGCGAACAGCGACGTACACAACAAGCACGTGATGGACAGCGTGGTCCTGGCCCGAGAAGCGGTCCAGCTGGACGTCACTGACGGAACCTCCTGGTGTGAGTAGAGCGTCTGGGTTCCACTATTCAGCAGGGAGGAGAGAAAACTAATGTATGCTAAAATTAGGGATGTAGGGATGCCATCGATTATTCAAATATTCGTTACAATCTCCATAATCACATTTTTTTTTTTTTCAAATTCGATTTTATTTATAGATTTTTTTATTATTATTTATGTTTTTTGTTTTTTTCCTGGCTTATTTTCAACCAAAATATAGACTAATGCTAATAATAGTAATAGTATTAATAATTGTAAATGGCCATTGGTCACACCACCAGTTTGTTTTACTGTAAACTTGGAGGAAGCCAGCAGCACAAGCTGCGCAGACTACTGCAGCCCTTCGCTGCGCAGACTGCTGCAGCCCTTCGCTGCGCTGCTACACACCGCCCCCGCCCCCCCCCCTCTCCGTCAGACGTGCGATTGATTTATTGGAGTGAGAACACAACTAAAGATGAACAAAGGAAAGAAGATTTCCTCGTGGAACTACTTCAAACTGACAAGTGCAAAAGTTTTTTTTTTTCCTCCCGCGGGTGGGGGGGTGGCGCGGCGGCGGGGGTCGAATAATCGATTATTATTTGCCAGGGCTGTCCGATTTTCGATTTTGATCATGGTCAGTTTCTGGCATCCCTAGCTAAAATGAGTTCTTGTTTCGACAGACATCCTGGGAAATGCCAACGTGTCCCTGTTTTTCACCAGCGGACAGAAACCACAGTTGTCTCAACAAGCTATGAGTGCCTATGCACAATCGGTGAGTGCTGAGCTCTAGGCCTGTTTGATCAAATCTATGGACACTTCTCGCGCTAACGTTTTCATCCTCTCCTCCTCGTTTGCAGGAGAAAGTGGACAGAGCTGCCTCGTGTTATCCTGAGCTGCATTACAACCGCGCCACTCTCTTCCAGTACGAGGAGATGTTCGGGTCTGCGCTGGACGGCTACACCCGAGCTGCGGCGCTGGACCCGGGCTGGGAGGATGCTCGGGGGAGAGAGAAGCAGCTGCTGGAGTATCTGCGGAAAGTCACAGAACTCATACAGAACAAGGTATGGAGAAAAATGCATTACGGGAATAGCAGAATAAGAAAACCAGCAGATAGAAGCTGCTCGAGAAGCTGGAACCCAGCGATGTTTTGCACTTTTTGCTTCAAAGTTTTTTAACGTATTCAAAATGGTTATCAATTAATCAATTTTCTTCCTATATGATTTACCATGAAACCATTAGAAAATCAAAACCTCAGTTTAACATTGAAATGAAGTTACTATAAATGTTTAATTTAAATAATGGAGCATTCTACATCAACGTGGGAGGGAATGAACACTGAAATGACAGCTCGAAGAAGACTACACTTTTCTACCACTAGGTGTCAGCAAAGCACATGTATATTTCTTGTCTTGCCCCTGACCTCCGGTCTCTGCCTCTCCTCAGGGGAAGGTGAAGGCGCGCAGGTTAAGGACGATGCTCTCTAACCTCCACACGTCGGCGCTGGGCCCCTGCTCCTCGCCTCAGTTCCGATCCCCGACTGGTCGCGTCGGCAGCCTGGGGCCCCGGACTCTTTCCTCCCTCACGCACGGTCTCAACGCCGGGGTGGCCGCCCTGGGGAAGGTGGTGTTCAGCCTGGCTTCTGAGGGTCGCATGGCTTTGTGAGTGCAGCTTCATTTCTCATTAATAGATCACTTGGTTTTGAGAGCAGTTGGTGAAATGTTGGCCCTTTCTCCCCTCCAGTACGTTTGGCATGGTGGACAGCGAGCAGTCGTGCATCGTGGTGATGGTTTACAACACAGCGAACAGTTGGGGCGTCCTGATCGGAGACACTGTAGTCATTCCTGAACCGCAGCTCAAACGAAACGGCATAACGCATAAAGATGAGGTCAGTGTCTCACGACGTGTAGAGTTCAAACTGTATCGATACATGTCGTTCTAAAAGGTCTCACTTTCACATTTCCTCTCTCCGCAGTCGTTTGACTTCAGAAGTATCCGAGTGGACTCTCCGCTGCTCCTCATCGTCAACGGCAAGAAACAAAACGTCCAAAGTCAGATCGCCGCCTCCGTGAGCTACACGCGCCAGAGCGAATGAGATGCACCCGCAGCAGGAAGCGCAGCAAGAGGACCAATCGTTTTTTTTTCTGGATTTTTGAAGTTCTGATGATTGTGGACGTGTTAATATTTCAAAGTTCGTGCCTGTTTTATGTGTTGTTTTGTAAATAGAGGTCACCCTGTTACTTTGTCTTTAGATAGACGCTTTGTTTATATTTATAAATATTCTTTTTTTATACTCTCTTGTTGTGGAGACAATACGGAGATCTTTTTTTGTAAATGAATGAACATTTGATGATTATTATGATGTCAGACTTTACCCTGAGCAAATCATTTTACCGGTTATATGTTGTTTACGTGTTGTTTTAAAACAGCATCGGAGTCCCCAAAAATGTATGTAAAGAAATAATTGACTATAATGGTAATTCGTTATTTGAAGAAATATCTTTTTACTGGCAGACACTTTGGCACTTCTCAGTAGGAAAAGAACAGGTGTATGAAGGAACATATCCTATGGTTCAGCTCTATTCAATTCAGTTGTGTGCACAATACTAGGTCTTTAAAATGGAGAGACGCGAGAGAGAGAGAGACACAGAGACGAGAGAGAGACAAACACAGAGAGACACGAGAGAGAGAGAGACACACAGCGAGACGAGAGAGAGAGAGACAAACACAGAGAGACACGAGAGAGAGAGACACAGCGAGACGAGAGAGAGAGAGACAAACACAGAGAGACACGAGAGAGAGAGACACAGCGAGACGAGAGAGAGACACACAGAGAGACGAGAGAAAGAGAGAGACACACAGAGAGACGAGAGAAAGAGAGAGACACACAGAGATGAGAGAGAGACAAACAGAGAGAGACACGAGAGAGAGAGAGACACACAGAGAGACGAGAGAGAGAGAGAGAGAGAGAGACACACAGAGATGAGAGAGAGACAAACAGAGAGAGACACGAGAGAGAGAGAGAGACACGAGAGAGAGAGAGAGCGAGAGAGAGAGACACACACACAGAGAAAGTCTATTTACACCTGTGTCTTACCAACTTAGATATGTCAAAATGTCTTATGTTAAAAAAGCCAACGTTTCACTACAATGATAATCATGTCATTGTTAAAAAAGAATAATTATAAATATGTCCCTTCTTGATGCGACCTTGGTTAACCAGCATACTGAACGATTTGGTTGTTCGTTATGCAAGAGAAACCGCCCCATTACCCTAAATATTCAAGTCTAGACCTCAGTGGGTCTCCTTATGCTTCCAATCAACAACAACCATTAGTGTTTGCATGATAGACCACCTACTGTTATTCATTTAGTAGCATTATATGCACTGTATCACTTCAGGAACATGTTTGATTTCATTTCTTTGGACTTTTTTTTTCTTAGTTTTAAAAGCCACCCATTTTCTTTACTTAGATACGGCTCAACTACTTCTTCTACTTTTGATCAATTTGTAGGTTTTTCCGACTAGAAGCAGGTAAAGCTCTTTCTCATTTGAACTGGTGGAATCTGGTGGAAAGATAACAAAGAGGACTGCAAGGCAGGAAACAGTTTATGTTGTTTTTACTATGTCTTGCCAAGTACTTGTCTCCTTAACACACTTTTTAGAAGGTTGAATATAGGATTTCGCTCCTAGTTTAGTTCAAAATCACAGAAAAAAAACGACAAAAATGCACTCAGGGCAAACACTGCCAACAGAAATAAATATTAGAACAACTTAGCATTTTTAAACAAGTGGAGTTAAGTTCAACAGTTGTGGCTGTCTCAGTGCTTGTTGATGTAGGGACGGCCTCTCTCCCTGGCGGGGGAGCTGTACTGGAAGAAGTTTTTTGCTCCGTCAGCCTCCAGGCAGGAGAAGAACCGCCCGTCCCCACCGGGGGCCACGGAGAGGAACTGTGGGCTCCTCTGGGGAGTTCCCTGCCGAGCCACGCCTGCGCCACACAAATGGGGGTTGACGGATGTTTCTCATTGTTATGCCGGTTTGAAATTCCTTTACATTGACAATCGGTTCCTACTGTTTTTTCCTTAATGACCACTTCTCCACAAAACACCTACAGCTGGGTTTCCCTTTGTCTTTCCTTTTAACATCATTCTCTCTCTGCTTCCTTCCTCTTGTCATTCGTCAGTTCTGATGTGACAACTGATTTAATAAAAGCAAGATTTTCCTGACAAACTCATTGATTTGGACTGTGAGAAACGATTATTTCCTTGTGGATGAATCCGTGTTTGCCATTTACACTAGCAAATGTAGGAAACGGTTAACTTTACAGCTTGTTGTTGTCATCCTATTATTTGTTTTGTCCGACTACAGTCGACATTTTTCATCTTTCACCATTTCTGCCTGTTCAATTTCTGAAATGAATAGCTGATTATCAACATTGCTGGCAAATCATTTCCGACAATAAGTTGGTGCCAATATTGTTGCTAACATTGGAATTGTATATTAATTCAAGTATTTTGTAATTAAATACTTGATAACATTGATGGAAAGCCAGTGTCTTAATGTTTTTCCAAATAAAAAAAAACAATAACCGTGGAAGTGGGAGAAGTATGACGAAAGCAAAACACTTTTAAATGTTAGAGTATATGGAAGGACAACGTTTGTGGCCTGATTGTTTGTAAACTCCTACAAACCATACCCACCTCTTACTGCAAAACCTCAATTTATGTCCTGAACAAATAGATTACGACTTAACCTAAAACTTTAACATAAATCTCAAGTTCTTACCGATGTTATAGTCGTTCCGTCCTGGTTGTGGCAGCATGTCTCTGTCCCCCGCACCCACCACCATGTTACGCAGCCTCAGAGAGTCGTACAGCCCCTGCAGTTTCTGGTACTGCCTGTTTCTCTCCATCAGCCTCTCAGAAACCTCGCTGTACTTCCTTTTATACTCCTCCATCACCTGAAAGAACAAGAGTGGTATCCTTAATGTTCACCCTAAGAGGATTGACAGTCATATTAAGGTCAATTTCAACTTCATTTGTGTTGTTATAAATCTACACTTGAGTTGGTTTACTTTTTTCAGGGACGCGATTTCCCCCCTCATGCCGGAGAGCTCCACCTCTCTGCTTTGGTTCTGCTGTGTCACCACTTTATCCATCTGCTTCAGCTGGGCCTCCGCTCGAGACAGACTGTACTCTTGAAACATGCGCTCCTGATGGACCTGCTTACAAAGACAAGGGAATTACAAGACAACCCGACTGGTAACCAACTACATTACAAGACTCACAATTACAGTGATGTTCCCATACATACAAACAGGATTATATTTGACCTGATAGCTCCAGAAGGCCAGAGCTCGGGCGCTGATGTCCAGAATCACATCTGGTCGCAGACCTGCCAGCACCATGGCTTTGTACTCCTCAGATGGCGACAGCTCTGTCCTCACAATGTCCAGCTTCCCTGACAGCGCAGAGGAGCAGGCCGGGCAGATGGCGGGGGAGCGGCTGAACTCACCGGACCCGTGTTGATCACAGAAGACATGCGAGCAAGCTGTGACCCAGGCAAAGCCGCCCAGCTTGGTGCGACACTTTGGGAAGTTACACAGGAGCGTGTCATCGCAGAAAGACATGGCCCCGACTGTGAGAAGAACAGTAACATGTCATTAATGGAGCTCAAAGCAATAGGCAAGTCATTAACGGAAAGTTATATCAAGCAATTACATACAATTGATTTTAAAAGACCTTAACAATATCGAGGTAAAGCAAATAAAAAAATAGTCTAATGCTATATCAGGTCTAAGGCTATGTGACACACACTCTTTGGTATTATATTGAAAGAGGTTTTACAAATTCAAGAACCAATTTGATAACATTTGGTAACAGAATAACCAGGTAGGTTTACAAAGTTAAGTGTGTGTGTGAACATTGAATGACTTTTGCTATTTCATACATTTTTGGGGGTTTTCCTTTCTGATCATTAGGCTTAGGGACATCCCTTAGGACATAGGAGTTTCGACACTTAACATTATATACTTAAAACACTGTTTACACCTTTGTGTACATACATTGTAATATTTAGTCCATGTTTATTGTTAGAACATTTGCCTCCAAGTTTTACTTTGGACAACTTATCTATTTCAAATGATCAATGAGAAAATGGGTTACTACTAGCAAATGAAATAATATATTCCCCAAAACCTTGCTGCGTGAAGGAGTATGTAGCAATGTAGCTTAGCTTAATTCGCTAGCTTAATGTTACGTCAACTGCCATTAAATGTTAGCATTAGCATGATAGCAGGTAATTTGATATGCTCAGTTAGTTAACAGCTATCTCCGCGTTTTGTTTAACCGCTGGTTTTAAAGAGAACTACTTTGACATCTTAAAGTATATATTGATAAACTTGTGCGGACACTTTAAAGGCGAATTTAAGTAAATTTCGGGAGATTAGCTACAAACCTACCAGTTAGCTCTTCACTCGGCAGGTGACGCTAAATGAATACTGTATTCTGATTGGCTGATTACCACTCAGACTCTCAACTGTAAAATCTTGACACATTCAATTTATACGAAGATTTTAAAATGTGTAAATAGATAACTTTTTCTTATGAGTGGTGTAAGTACCTAAGAACATTTAATCAAAACAATATAGTATCCTTAAATGTGCCAATCTCCATAATGAGTACTTTTACTTTTGAAACTTCAAGTATATTTAGATGCCAATACTTTATGCTTTTACTTGAATAACATTTTTGAATAGAGGTTATTTCATTGTAACATGAGTATGAGTATTCCTACGCCTTGGTACTTCTACTTTTACTTTAGTACAAGATCTGAGTATATTCCACCTCTGGTTATGATTGCATTCAACTCGGGCTAAGCACTTGTTATAAGGGTAAACATATTCAATTAGCATTTTTATTCTGTGGCAAGTTACTTTACTGCATGTAAATTTGGACTTTACTTTCAGGTTATTTTCCAAGTGATGATGAAATTGGATGAAGTGAGATATTTTAATGAACACTCCAAACCCTAAACATGTAATTTCACCCCCCAAATCAAATAACGCCCTTCTTACGCATGCCTCCGAGTGGATATATGTATAATCTGAGACACCTACTTAAATATGGCCCCCCTTCTCGTCCACCCCCTCCCACTTTTCTCTCTCTCTCTCCCTCTTTTATCCAATTCTCCACGTGGTACAGGAGTAAAGGCGGGGGGTGAAAGAGGGGCATTGTGCTGTGCAGCAGTGGATCCGGGGGTTCATAGTGAGAGAGGGGAGATGCTCACTCAACTGTGTCCAGCACGCCATTGTCAAAGATTCCCATCTATTCTCTGCCTTTTAAATAGAGCTCCAGTGTAAGATGCTTTTTCTGGGGGGGTGGGT